ACTTCTGATTGGTAGTTCCTGAGCCCTGTGACCTTCATACACAGTTACGGAGGTGTTCCGCAATGCCGTTGAAATCGCATATTGTATATTTCAGCATGCCAGCACTTTTAACACTTCAAAAGCATAGAGAAACTGGGTCTAACACAGTTCCCCCCCTTCCCCCCAGAGGTGCTGCAACCTATGTCACAGGCATTCTCTTTCTCGGAATGAAAACGTAAATGCAAGACATTGCAGAAACCAAACAACAGAGCAGGACACACCTGTAACCTGAATGAAAAGTGACCTACTATATTTGGGGAGACTAATGTCGAACGAACTGAAATTGTTACTGTTTTAACACAAGTGGAATCCTTGAAACAGTCCATGTCATGTCTAGTGATTTTGTTACAAAAATTATATCATTATTAAATACTGAATTTTTCATATTTTCTAGGTGTACGTAAATTTGTGTTTTCTAAAACAGGGCTATACTGCACACAAGGTTGTGAATGAGTCCTGTATGTTTCCACAATTCCTCATCTATTGAAAACTGTATGTAAGATCTTTTTCAACTAACCCTTACCGACCAAGTTATCCTGCCCTCTGCACAATATGTCCTCCCCATCTTTTTGACTACTCTTAGTTCCCCATGTCCTCATTCATCATCATCAATTACTGCATTTCCCCAAGTATAAGATGCACTTATAGAGGACATATCATCATCATCATCAGGTGCCTTGCCGACTGGCGTGGGCGATCATGCCTCTCCATAATCTACGATTTTTCTGCAGCTTGTATCAGTTCGGGTGCTGACACACCTCCATGCCATGCAACAAGACTGTCAAGCATCTTCTCTCGTTGTCTTCCTCTATCCCTTTTTCCAAAGATCTTTCCAGTGGTTACAACATGTTATATTTTCCCTCTTCTCATAACATCTCCGAAAAATGATGACTGTCTTCTTCTGATGTCTGTGATAAGTTGTCTTCAGGCTCCCACCTCTTTCAAAACCTCTTGGTTGCTTTTTTTTGGCTGTCCAAGGTATTCTAAGCTTTCTTTTGTAAAACCACATCTCTGAGGCCTCTAAAAATTGTTTGGCCTGCCTACTGATTGTCCAGGATTCACATCCATATGTTAAAACTGGATGTATGTAGCAAGCAAGAATTCTTTTTCTAACTCTCAATGACAAGGATATATTGCACAAGATGTTTTTCATTTTATAAAATGCAGTTTTTGCCTGTCCTATTCTGGTTCTTATTTTAGTTATGCATCTTCCATCTGATGTTATCCATATGCAGTGTCTATCATTCCCTGTAATTCTTTCTGACTTGTTGCTATCAAGACTGTGTCATCAGCATAACGTAAATTGTTTATATTGTGCCTACCAACCACAATTCGGGGCATATCAATTAAAGATCTCGTTATATATTCACTGTATATTGAAAACTAATCAGGTGACAGTACACATCCTTGTCGTACGCCCCTCTTTATGCTTTGAAATGTACCTAAACAGTTGTTAATTCTTATAGCTGCTGTTTGCTGCCAATACATATTCTTTATTATTCTTAGATTTTTCCCATCGTTTAATTTTTCTAACAGTTTGATTACTTCTTCATGCTTCACACAGTCAAATGCTTTTGTATAGTCTATGAAGCATAAGTACAAATCAGTATTTACTTCTATAGCTCTTTCGGACAATGTCCTTAGGATGTAAATGGCATTATTTGTACCTTTTCCTTCTACAAATCCACATTACTCATCGCTGATTTCTGGTTTAATTTTGTTTCTTATTCTTCTCATAATTATTCTCAGTAAAATCTTAGTCATGTGACTCATAAGACTTATTGTGCGATGGTCTTCACATTTTAAAGTGCCTGGTTTCTTTGGCAGAGCTATAAATATGGATTTTAAAAGGTCATTTGGAATATACCCACTATTATAAATATCATTTAAAAGTTTAGTTATTATTTCAATTCCAAAATCTCCCAGTGCTTCGATTTCTTCCAGTGAGATGTTGTCTGGCCCGGGTGCTTTTCCTTTCTTCATATGATGTATGTATCCTCAACTTCTGCAGTCATTATTGGTGGACCATCATTGTTGGTCTGCAGTTCTACATCTGGTCTATTATCATCATACAATTCCCCTATATACTCTGTCCACCTGTTAATTATATTACTATGTCCCATTAATAAGTCACCATCTTTTGATTTCAAACATCCAGTGCTGTTACGTGTCATCTTTCCTGTTAACATATTTATCTGTTGGTACATGGAATGTGAGTCTTTCCTGTGATTTTCCCCAATCTCTGTACACATTTGATTCAGCCAGGCTTCTTTAGCCACTTTGCATTTGTTCACTATTTCTTTTTGTAGAGGACATATGGGTTCTAAAAACTGTACATCTTATACACATTATTTTTAAACCTCTAATGTCCGGTCCCAAAATTAAGGATCATTTTGTACTTATGGAAATACAGTACATAATGCTCAGGATTTGAACCATCCAGTGCTAAAGGTGAAAGTAACAGCGGTGTGGGGACAGGAGGTTAACTGACAGTTTTATATTTTTTTTACTTGGGCAAATACAGTACATAATGCTCAGGATTTGAGCCATCCGGAGCTAAAGGTGAAAGTACCAGCTGTATGAGGACAGGAGGTTAACAGCCTCATTAACACAGTTTAAATAAGTTCCCACTATCATGGATCACGGCTGTTCAACTAACTCCCGAACCACAAATGTGAAAATGGGGATCATTAAGGGCTTTTGTCTGAAATACCAAGAATAGAAACAGAATAATCCGTGCCCCACTTGCTAGGCCAAATCTGGCTCATGGGGCATACGTTCATTAGATAGCTCTGTCATAGATTATATCATCTGTTGGCAGATCCTAGAGTTATTTTACTGTTCTCATGATGATGATGATGATTACAGATTGCCAATAAATGCTTAACTTCACTAGCTACTTTGAATTAATCCGTCTCAATATGAGTTTTTTTTTTTTTCTATGTAAAGCCCCAGCCTGGTTGTCATCGGGGGCCCTATATATATATAACCTACAGGTTGAACAGGATTTCTGGGTGATTCTCATCTGAATGGGAGCACTTTGTGCCACCGTGTGTTCATCTCTGGTACAGTCATGGTAGGGTTCTTGATTGTCCAGTCTGTTAGTGATGGCTGGCTGGCTGGCTGCAAGGTCCTGCAACCTAATCTACACTGGGTGAGTCTTGTTTTCAAACTCTACCTCAAATACCAGGAAATTTCATGGAAAGTAAAGGTAGTCAGTGTTATCTTAACCACATCATCTTTGAGTCAATGACTAGTGTGAAAGAACATTAACATTGAATATAGCACTTGATGCCTGATCTATCAGTGGCATGACACTTTACTGCACACTTTGTCATATTTAACAATTCCCCCCCCCCCCACCCCCCCCACCTGTAGCTGAAATAAAATGGGTCTTTGTGCTATATATGGGTATTTAAAAAAAAGTTGTGTATCCTTTACAGGACGTTGCAGAACCAACCTTAACAGCCCCTGGCTTTTGTGTGGTTTCTCCAAGCAATTTACATCCAGTAGTTTGCCATTGCTTTCTGGATGGTCGGCTTTCTTGATACCACTGTCGAAACCAACGCAAGGCACATTGCCCGCAGCTGGATCAAACCTGGCATCCCGACATTACGAAGCGAAGCGTTCGCATCGACTTAGCCACAGAGCTGACATATATGGGTATATGAGAGGGAAATTAATGAACGTAAAACTTGGTGTGGTGCAATACACATTGAACGGGATGTAAAAAAAGACAGAGAGAGAGAGACCATTAGCTCCAAGACTTTAGAGAGGAAGAACGTGTAGATGTAGGTTCTAGTCTAAGTGTTGCCGGGCTAGACCTGTGCACTATGTGTCACACTGGGTCAAGGAAAACAGTGTTCATGTTGCTAGCGGGTGCTGAAACAGTAACAGGTTTTCCAGCATGAGGGATCCCCAAGGTAACGTGACAGGTTGCAGACAAGAAGTCTGTATAGTTTTCACAATGTATGTGCACCGGCCTGGATGGTCTCTAGCGATAGTGGCCTCAACATATAGGAGTTGTTGGAATGACTGGCACGTTAATCATGAAAGTGGATTTGTGCGATCGGGTATTGGTGGCCTGCAACAACCACTGGGCGTAGTGTGACAGGAGAAGTCCTTCGGAGCGTCCTGAGTGTGTTCTGCCTTGGTAGCGAGAATGACTGACTGTGGTAGTATAGAAATTCATGTCTCGTGATGCCTTTCATTGTCCTGGTGTTGAAATACATTGAATCTACTTTGACGGTCAACATGTATCCGGCCTCCTCTATTGCTGTTGGTCAGGAGTGGTGACTTGTAAATGTGACACTAATGAGTACACCTTTAGATACTTGGCAAGTGTGTGGAGCATCAAGGAACTTTAGCACGCGACAGTCTTGAACTCATGGGAATATCCGGAAAATATCCTTTAAAAACATTTTGTGCAGATCACTAATAAATTGTTTTAAAATTGATTTATGTATATTTTGAAATATTATCCCTCCAAAATGTATAAAATAAACAGGAACAGAGTGAAGCATTCAAATGAAATACATTCCCTGGTGTCTAAAGCAAATACGCTGGGTGACTCATATTGTGACCGGTATTACAGTCAACTGGGGAAAATGTTTCTGTCGTCACTTGTTTGTATTTCTCAGGATATTGGTTGTGTTAGTAGTATTCAGCCAGGCTGCGAAATCTGCATCTTTCCGCTCAACATTTTGACTTCATTAAACCCAAAATTAGTTGCCTTCTATGACACGCTTGGGGGGGGGGGGGGCAATTCTTCTCCCACCCCTGGAAACCACACAAGAAAGCTAAACATTTATTTATTTTCAGTTCATCAGTTTATGGAACATGCAGGATTACCACTTATTGCTCTGTGATATCAAGACACTTATTCTGTTCTTATGTTTCAATCACATCAATAAGGCATTTGGTAAATTTAATATTGAAAAATGTGTCCAATGTTTGCAGCGTCATTTGCCTGACACTGTGTCTAGAAAAGCTGCACAGCACCTTAAACACTGGTCATACACTTCATTGAAGGCATTCTTGTTGCGGCTCTGGGGGAAAAAAAAAAGAGAGAGAATTATAGTCATATAATCAAGTGCATGACAGACATAAAAATCTTCAACATTACCTGAAAAAAGTAATGGCATCTTGGCACATCTCATGTTTTTGCTGTGAGTGAGTCACAAAAAGAGTGACGAGTGACTTCCCTTCCCATTCATAAATCGCTGTGTTGCATGGCTTGTGCCCCACCCCACATCCAAGGTTGCACAACTGACACCCCCTCAACATAGAACACGCTGTGCAACACAGCGATTTATGAATGGGAAGGGTATCAGTCTCTTTCTGTGCCCAAAAACGTGAGCTGTAATTGACACATTGTTATGTTACATAGGGCTCTCTCTCTATTTCTCAATTCCGTTATACCATGTGCAGTTACTTTGATGATATGGATGGAATCCGGTCCAGCATCTTTGGCTTCTTTCATCAATGTTTGCTTTAGGGTTTTTCTTAGATGTTCTTGTTTCCTATTACAGTGCCTGTTTGGCGATTCTCTTTTTGACGTAAATTGTGTTGTGTTTATATTTTCTTCTATTAAATATTTCTGGTTTTAGGTTAACTTTGGTTTTCTGTAAGCTCTGTTGTCTTGTCCATTGAACTTTGTAGTCACAGTCTGTGTTGAATTCAGTATTCTGTTCATAGAACTGTGGGCGAAACTTTATGTTGTATCTGTGTGAATCTTTTTTATTTTGGAGTTACTGTCGAGGAGCGGGTAGATGCTCGCCGCAGATCGGAAGGCTGTGGGTTTGCTCCCTGGCAAAGCAAGACTTTTTTCAAAATTGACCTGGCTCCCAGGTTGACCCAGGCTTGAGTGGGTACCGGGTGCAGTCCTAGGAAGTAAAGGCAAGGCGGCTGGCGTGACGCTGACCACATCACCCATTTTGTGCAGATTGGTCTGTAAAATACAGGTCTAGCCCTATATGCCTAAAGGTGTGGAAAAGGGTCCTTTACCTTTACTTTTTTACTTACTTTTCCATTTGCACTGTTGAGTTTCTAGACATATTTTGTGTTGCATTTAGTACTGCATGGAAAAAGGGATGTTGAACAGTTGTGGCAAAAAAAAAAGGGCACTATTGAGGAAGCCAAAGAAGAATAAGAAATAGAACTGGTGTCATTGACCGCCACATGTTGTGGGATCTACTGAAAAGTGGATCTGAGCACTTATGGTCTGAATGGCCTGATGTGCATTCAGGATAATCTGTTGACTAAGTACATGGGAAAATCATCATAAAATGATAATCAAGTACATGAAAGAGAATGAATGAAAACCTTACCCAGATCATGGACAAGAGTATAATGTTAAACTTATAGGCATCCTTGCATGGGTTCCCGCAGCCACATTTTGAGGATGAAAAGTACATATTCACTATGCTATCAGTGTCAAACATGGACACGGTCTTCAGAAGACAGAAGGAAAACAGTAACGAAAGAAATGAAATGTTTATGTACTATGCCAGATGTAATGAGGTAAGACTGACTTAGAAACGATGATATCAAGAGGAGAGTTGGCACAGAACCAATATAAAGGTTTTATAGGTAGACAACAAAATAAATGGTTTGGCCATGTAACAAGACTGGCATGAGACAGGGCACCACAGAGAGCAATGTTACACAGATACAGCGGTAACAGAGTTATAGGTCAACCACGCATTAGGTAATCATCATCATGTGCCCTGGCAGTTGGTGTAGGCGCTCATGCATCTTCACAGATCACGATCCCTGGTTGCATAAAACAGCTCTCTTGATGATATCCCTCCATGCCATAATTTCAGCCCATCAAGCATCATTCTCTCTTGGTCTGTCTCTACCCCTCTTTCTACTGATCTTTCTAGTTGTCACAATGTTTTCCAATGCCTCTCTTCTCATTATGTGGCCAAAGAACAGTGTTTGTCTCCTTATTTCTGTATGTAAAATCTACCTTCATTAGTTTCTTTCAAACAATCGTTGTTAGCTACTTTGGCCGTCCAAGGTATTCGTGACATTCATCTCAGAAACCACCTCTTTGTTGTTTCCAAATTCTTCTTCATCTTCATTGGTTCACTGACATTCCAAGATTTGCTGCCAAACAACAGAAAATGGACTGCAGAAATATGACACTGAAAAGTACGAAGCGAACAGAAGGGCCCGTTCTACAGATCTCTTCCAGGAGTAGAGAAAAGAAGAGCATCCCGTGTGAGTATCGGGGCACTCCTCACATGCATGTCATAAAAGTAGAATGATCACGGATGTTTCCTTCAAAATCTGCCTGAGAGGCCAGGAACCGACAGTCAGCATATAAATAAACCAGATCTGTCGGATGTGAACGCCAAAACTCAAGTTCTACAGCAAGAATCAAAGTCAGTCCAGCAGGTGACAAACAATCAGAACTTTCCATCGCAGTTTACAGCCAGTAAACTTGAAGAAGAGCCATCTTTGCTTACTGAGAATGTTACATCTGAATAAATATTTTTTTTAAAAGGCCACTCACAACAGTGAAGTAAGGATCTTCTATGATGAGTTCCTTTTGTGGATCAAATTCTCCTAACAAGGCAACTTTGGCTGTGCTGTTTGCTGGGGCTAGTTCGGTGATATCCCTGAAAAATGAAAATGTAGCACAACAATTTGTTAATGTGTCAGCTACATTTTTCTTTGAAATACAGTGGTACCTGGGAAATCAAATCCTTCAAAATTAAAACAACTTGGAATGTGAAAAAAAAAATGTGCAGGTAAATTTTGCCACAGAACTTGAGCGCTGCCTTGGAAACCAAACTCCTAGCTAGCATGTGCTCGCCACCGCACAGTGCCTACTCTACAGTTTGTTTTTGTGCACTGTGCCTAATTGCAGCGTCTCAACTTGCCGAAACCTCCTAATTATTTGTGCAGCTACTGGACGTTGCAGAACCAACCCCAACAGGCCCTGGCTGTTGTGTGGTTTTCTAGGCAAATTTACGTCCAGTAGTTTGCCATTGCTTTCTGGACGGTCGGCTTTCTTGATACCACTGTCGAAACCAACACAAGGCACATGGCCCGCAGCTAGGATCGAACCCGGCATCCCGGCATTACGAAGCGTTCGCATCGACTTAGCCACAGAGCAGACGTATACTGTAAATGACACAAGAGTTGAAACAAACAATTTAAATTTATTTGGTCATTTTCACATCATAAGGAAGAAAAGATGGTTGGAGAAACTAACACATGATGTGGCAAATCAAATCAGTTGCTGGTACAATTCTTTTTCTTTCTTTCTCTACTCCTTGAATGCCTTGCTGCATCAGGGCAGGAAGAGATCTCTGGATGGATTCTTCTGTTCACTTCGTATAAAGTACCTTTTAGTGTCTCTGATATTCCTGCGAGGTGGCCCTCTGGCTATGTTACCGTTGTTATCTGTAGAACATTGCTCTCTATGGTGCCCTGTCTGTTACATCCCCTTGCCTCGCCATCTTGATGAGAACTTGGATAATTAACACTACTTCGGACACACAGAAGTATCCTCTGTCTTATCATCATCATGTGCCCTGCTGATAAGCATAGGCTGTCATGTTTCACCATCTCTCACAGATCAGGTCAATGTTGTTGCTGACCCCATCAATGTGGTCAGGCCATTCAGATATTTATCTCTCTTTCTTCCTCTTGCTCTTTTCCCATCAATCTTGCCAGTTGTTACCAAGTTGTCTACCAAATCAAATCTAGTAAGAACTATTTTATGCCTAACTTATGCTTCTTTTTCTTCTTCTCTTCTACCTTGTACCTCAGTGAAGTGTCGGGGGAAGATGTAACATTCGTTGATGAGCTATGTCAAGAGCACTATTAAGACTGATGTTCATTTCTGCAAGGCTGTTCTTAGTGCCATCACTCTTATCTTTTCTGAGGTCTTCCGCTCGCTCTATACCCATTGTAACATTTCATTAAGGCTCGATGTGGCAGATAGTACCAGGGCATTCTGTTAGGTGTCCAAACCATTTCATTTGTTGTTCTTTGATGATCTGTAAGACTGGCTTTATTTCTAACATTCGTGTTATTTCGTATTCTGTCTTTCCGTGAAACTCTTGCAGCTCTTCTAATGCATTTAATGTCTGTTGTCATAATTTTACGTTCATTAGAGGATGTAAGTGTCCATCCACGTTTGGCATTGATAGCAAGCTACCAGTTAGGGTTACTAAAACCAATGAGTACAACATTATAACAACAGAGAAGAGATGGTTGAGTAACACAAAAGGATAACAAATAAAAAAGAGGAAATCAGAAGAATATACCAAACCAGTTATTAACCAATCAGCATGTCCTTTACCGAACATTGCTCTCTTCACAGCACACCTGAAAGTCTCTTTCTCTATCTCCCAGCCCTGTGTGCTTTCACAGCCAATGGCACCTTTAATGTCCTGTATCCACCTTCATTTTCCAGAAACTACACCTTCCATCATCGTTCTCTTCAGACCACCATGGCGTTGGACATGTCCCGAATACTTCAGTTTTCTAGAGAGGTAGAGAGGATGCTGTTTATGAACCTGTTCTTCTTGGTGTTCAGATCATGCAGGATGTCAAGATTTGTTCTGCTTGGTCCATGGTATTCTGAGAATGTTTCTATAGCCAAACCATTCCTACAGTTTATCAAAGAGTAATATATGAGATGGTTTGGTCATCTGACAAGAATGGCCTGGTACCAACTGCCACACAGGGAACCATGCTGAAGAAATTTAATGGACACAGCAAGGGGAATAACCACACAGTATATGGAATGACGGCATCAAGAACAGTCTTAAAGAAAGGAAGACCAACTTATACAATGCATTGGAGATTTGATTCAAGAACCGACATCACAGCACTCGGGGCATTCCCATAAGCGCTCCGTCCCCATCTTCAGCAGCCAGCGAAGAGTTTCGATACTAATGGTGCTAGTAACATTCTGATTAAGCATCTGCCAGAACCTTTCGTCACTCCCCGCTGCATCAATCTCACCAGACTGTGGTGATCCATCTGCTCCTCCCAACTGTACACGCTCTCCCACAAGGCACTAACCACGTCTGCCTTATGTATCAGTATTCCACCAAGTTTTGCAGAGCCAGCCAGTATGTCCGCCTGTTCATTTCCCAACACACCGGTGTGACCCAGTGAAAAAATCCATACAATACTCCTCACTGGTGTCCTCCGCAGCGAAGCATGCCACTCTGCACGAAGCATACCTGTTCTGATCTTCCTCAGCATGCTTTCTGAATCAGTTACAATCACGATGTGTGTGTATGCCGTGTCCTCTAGCCAGCGGAAAGCTGCAGTGACCGCCTCCACCTCCATTTTAAGCTGGATGTTGTGGTATTCTATGCTAGGCTCTCCTGCACCAAACGTCGACCAATAACTTTTACTAAGAAGCCCCAAGCACTTCTTTTGCCTCTTGACACTGAACCGTCTGTCTAAATTATCAAATCCTCTGAGCGAGCATTATCTTGAATTAATTGCTGAATTTCCACCTTTGTGGCACCTGCTGGCCAGTCTCTGCATTCCCGGCTCAGTTTGACTGTTCAGGTGGCACTTTGACCCACTCCTCTCCTCGCCTAAGGATGCAAACCTGTCTGATTGTGTCTTCTGTCTGAGCCATCCATGACCTCCCTCTTATCAGCCGCTGACCCTTAACTGCACTCAGAGCTTCATGCAGAGGGTGTTCTGTGTCTGCAGCTACCCTGAGATATGACTTCGCCTGCATCACCTTGTGCCTGCCTGAAACCGTCGGCAAACCAAGGATGTATCGCATACACACCACTGGGGTGTCTCTGGTGCAACCCAGAATGACCCGCACAGCCGCATTCTGTATGCGCTTGTTTGTCCCTCTGACTCTTTGCATTGGAGAGAGATCAAAGAAGATTCTCACATTTCCCTACCACTTTGATGAAGCAAGTGGAGGAGGAGAAGAAGAAGAAGAAGACATCTATAACACACAAGACAAATAAATATTATCGTACAAGTACATACGATATGTTTTCATGATCCATTCCAAATATGTACTCGAATGTGGTGAAGTCTGCTTGTGTTATCTGTTAAAGAAGACAATAATTTTCAGTCTGTGATACACAATTACACGTTTAAAATTCTCAAGCATTCATTCATTACACCAGTGTGGTTTTTGTGGCCCAACTGTGGGGGGAGGAGGGCAGGGGGAAACAAGAGCAAAGAGCAGACCCACTGTCTCCCTATCAAGCATGTCCTAAGAGTAAACTAATTGGGGATTTCTTTTTTCAAAGTTGGAGTGCATCTACCAGAGAGGAAGGAACCAACAGTCTGCATACATGTAAGCCAGACCTGTGAAATGAATATGCATGCAAAGTTCAAGTTCTTCAACTAGACTACACTCTAAAAGAGGTGGAACAACCAGAATTGTCTGCTGAAGTTTACAGCCAGGGAATACAATCTTGTGCTCATGACACACTCTGTTTTGGTTTTTTTTTGTTATTACTTAACTACAAATGCTGTGCCAGCACTATCAATCACCCACTGTAAGATCAAAGAGTACTCAGTGTCAAATCAATCACCCACTGTAAGATCAAAGAGTACTCAGTGTCAAATCAATCACCCACTGTAAGATCAAAGAGTACTCAGTGTCAAATCAATCACCCACTGTAAGATCAAAGAATACTCAGTGACAAAGAAGAAAATGCACTCAGACAATATCTAAAAAGTGACCCTTTACTGCCCTTATTCAACTTCTTTTCCTTTGAAGTTACAGAGCATCTGCCTGCGGGCAAAGAACCAACTGTCTGCACATAAATAATTCAGATCTATCAAACAACTGTGCATGCAAAACTGGCTTTGTAGTTAGGGAATACAAATCAGATGCCTGAGAAAGGCTGCAGAGGTGACCACAAGAGATCAAATCAGGAATTTCTAGCAAATTAAGTCAGCACAGAACCCATTCTACATACAAAGACAGCAAATAAAATGGGTTGCTCACTTCAAGAAAATGTTAGTTGCTTGTCGTTTACGGGATGTTGCAGAACCAACCCCAGCACTGTTTGGCTGTTTGTGATTTCATTAGGCAATTTTATGTTCAGTATGTCACTGCACTGTCAGCGACCGGCTCTCTATACCACTATCGAAACCCACATAAAGCACAAGGCAGACCAACAAGAACATGGATAGATAACATCAAAGAAACTCTACAACAGCACAATGTGTCTATGTTCGGCCAGAAGAACAAAAAGTAGAAACTTATATCTCTCTTGCCACCTGAAGCAGTAAAGGAAAGAGAGTTAACAAGACGCCCTCAATGGACTGCAGGATATGCTGCGGTAGTAACCTTCTATCTATTATGGGTGCTCCAATTATAACATCCTTGAAGGCTGAACTGAATATCTGGCATGTGTCCTGAGGGAGTGGCATCCAGGATTTGACTCTTTCAGTTACAGGGGTCCAACCTTCAGAAACAGCCCAGTGGGTGAATAAAAACAGCCGGTCAGTCTTGTTCTATCATAGGGGTAGAATTAAAAAAATGTGTGTGTGGATGTGTTGGAAGGATCGTCTTCTCTGCATTGTGTGTTGTACCCCATATAGCTCATTCTATAGAATGGCTTGCTGCCTGCAGATAGCGTCACACAAAGCACAAGCTCTGCTGCTCTGGTAATGATCCCAAAAGATTTATGTAAAAACTGCATCATGAACTGAAGGAAACGTCCATGAAATGAACTCTCCATTTTCAGAGCACAAGGCAAACAGCTTGACCACTTCGCCATTGAAGCTCCTAATGTTTAGTATTTTTTCTTCTATCTTGCATTTGAGACATGTCTTAATCTATTTAGTGTTTCTTTTCCATCTTGTGATGTAAAATCATCTTAGCATTTACAGTAGAATATCAACATACAACAATATATGCTGATATTCAAACACAAATACAGATTCAATCTGTTTACATCACCACTGATCACTGCCAACATGAGGGCTGACTGAAATGGCTGAGGAATACTGAGAGAATGCCAATGACAGAGAGAAGACCATACACAAGGCAGCTGACCAGATTGTGACCAGTACCATAAGTACTGGAACTCTGCACTGGCTGCTGAAGATGAGGATGGAGCATGTATGGAAATGCCCCGTGTGCTGTGATGTCAATTCTTGACTCAACTCAACTCAATTCAGGACAGCTGAATGGTCGTAGGCTACGAGGCAGACCCAGAAGACAATGGAGAGATAATATCCAGACAGACCTACAAACACTTGGTGTCACCAGATGGAAAGAGAAGGCCAACCAGGGAGATGAATGGAGGCAGGTCATATATGCAACAATCAACCTCAAGGGCTCGGAATGCTGAAGACGGAGACGATGAACATGAAACACAATTACAAGTACCAATTATGAAAGAACTCACACCCCGTGGGGGTTCTAGGACCCTATTTATTACGGGAAAAAATAACACACACCCCCCCCCTTCCCCCTTACAAAACGAGCATATTGTTAAAGGCAATTAATTAATGGTTTGCTGAAATCAGATGTGTAGGGTCTAAAAGCACAGATATCACAACTTAGCTGTAAATCACAATATATCAACCACTCAAGAAGTAGCTACTCACTAGTCGCCCTTTATGTTTGTATCCATGGATACCATGTTTCTTCAACACTTTCATGGTTCTTTCATCCGGAGGGTAGCCAACATGCCAGTCCCCTGTGCCAGCACTATCAATCACCCACTGTAAGATCAAAGAGTACTTAGTGAAAAATCAATCACCCACTGTAAGATCAAAGAATACTCAGTGACTAATCAATCACCCACTATAAGATCAAAGAGTACTTAGTCAAAAATCAATCACCCACTGTAAGATCAAAGAATACTCAGTGACTAATCAATCACCCACTATAAGATCAAAGAGTACTTAGTGAAAAATCAATCACCCACTGTAAGATCAAAGAATACTCAGTGACAAATCAATCACCCACTATAAGATCAAACAGTACTCGGAGACGAAGGCAAATATGAATTCAGACAATATCTCTAAGTTGTCCTCATATGACTTTTCCTTTGAAGTTGTAGTGCATCTGCACGGGGTGAGGAACCAACTGTCTGCACAAGAACAACCCAGATCTATAAAATGACTATGTAAGCAAAACTTGTTTCATGCAGGGACAAGAACCTAGACCTAATTAAACACTCTGGTGATTTTCTTGTGCAAGCCATGTATTCAAACTTATCCAGGTATGGATCTCCTTGTCTTCTCCTTGCTATTTTCCTAAAAATTTACCACCAGTTGTCACCAAATTTTATAGTCTCCCACCCAATAAAATCTCCACTTTTGCATCTTATTTTTCTAGTCAGTTTATGGTTTTCCTCTGTTTCTTGCCTCATTTGTTTTTAGATCCACTTTGCAATTTTCACAGAAACAATGTACAGTTGAATTTTTTTTTTTTTTTAGATACTTATGTTAATTAGATTTAAAAATTAGACAATTTTGAAAACAAATGTCTTAGAAGAATATGAAATCTCCACTAGACAATTCCAATATGCAAGTAAGACAAGAGACCAAGCAAAGATAATGTATCCAATTGTATAAGAAAGCGCTGCTGGAACTACATGGGTCATGCACTCAGAGTGGATAAGACCAGACTCCCCCATCAAGCCTTCATATGGACACTGGAAGGAAAAAAACAGGGAAGACAAAGAGAGACTGCGTAGAACCATCACCAGAAAAGTCTCAACCATGGGCCTAATAAACATCAGAGATCTAAAACAGGTGGCAATGAACTGCCAGACATGGAGAGCTATGACCTCTGCCCTGTGTGCCACCTTAGGCTCAAGAGAAAAGACTAACTATGTTAAGCAAAAAAGCAGTTTCTGGATCAACAAACCTGATCTTGCAGTCCCCTCTCTTTGACCAGGTGTTCAAACACGCCCTCTGCCATTGTAGACCTGCAGATATTACCTAAGGCGAAATAATAATAATATACTTGTGTTTGTATTGCTAAAGCTGTGTAGTTCTCACATTTAAGACCTGTTTGTATTGCTAAAGCTGTGTAGTTCTCACATTTAAGACCTGTTTGTATTGCTAAAGCTGTGTAGTTCTCACATTTAAGACCTGTTTGCATTGCTAAAGCTGTGTAGTTCTCACATTTAAGACCTGTTTGTATTGCTAAAGCTGTGTAGTTCTCACATTTAAGACCTGTTTGTATTGCTAAAGCTGTGTAGTTCTCACATTTAAGACCTGTTTGCATTGCTAAAGCTGTGTAGTTCTCACATTAAAGACCTGATTGTATTGCTAAAGCTTTGTGGTTCTCACATTTAAGACCTGTTTGTATTGTTAAAGCTATGTAGTTCTCACATTTAAGACCTGTTTGCATTGCTACAGCTGTGTAGTTCTCACATTTAAGACCTGATTGTATTGTTAAAGCTATGTAGTTCTCACATTTAAGACCTGATTGTATTGCTAAAGCTATGTAGTTCTCACATTTAAGACCTGTCTCTACGGCAGTGTAGGACAGGGGATCTTCAGCCAGATGATTTATGACTGCATGGCTAGTGCATGAATATTGAATTAAGAATCAACATCACCCCCATAAGAGCTTCGTCCCCATCTTCAGCAGCAAACAAGAGTTCTAATTCCGATGCTACCAGTAACTGTCTGATTGTATATCTGTCTGGCCTTTCCCTTAAGTGTTGAGCATCGGCCAGATCCCCTTGCAACTGGCAGCACCATTCTCCTCAGACCGTAATGGTCTATTTGTGTCTCTGCACTGTTGACTTGCCCCATGGTGAGTGAAGAACTGTTTTGTGAAGTTTTGTGTGTAAAGTTAACACCTGTTTAATTTTTTTTTTATCTACTAACTATAACAGTAATAGCGTTTAAAATTAAATATATACATATAAATGAGATTCAGAATATTTATAAAAATATATAATTTTGTAGGGATTAAAAATGTGTTACATTCTCTAGTGCATTTTTTAAACTACTGGCTCTCCAATTTTTGTAAAGAGAAATTAATGGGCCTAAAACTTGTAGTCAAAAAGTTAGAGTCTCTACCAGTTTGAACATTAGGGTGATCCGGCGTACACACACACAAAACAGTCATGTCAACTCAAAGTTTCCTACCTTAGCGAAAGCGTTTTTGTTGTGTCTGTGTACCAGTAAAGTAAAAATGTAGGTTTTTACTCACTTCTATAGCACACTTAATTAATGTTCTCAGTAAAACATGATATGTGTAACACCCATGCTTTCTGGAAACTTGGACTGTTACTGTTATTTGTTATCATTAATGCCCTTTCTTCTAGCAGCCTCGGCAAGCCCCGGGCTTGCAAGGAATTCGATACAGCGTCAATTTTATTTACTTAATTCTTTTCCTATCCCCAAACCGATGTTATGTAAAATTTTAAGAGGACAATAAAGTAAAATAACACACATACCTAGACAAACAAAGAGAACGGAATGCTTGGCTGTCATGTTGAAATTACGAAGCCTGTATCGTTGTGTAACAGGTTAGAGTTAGAGAGAACGGCGGCGGCTAGCAGACGTGGGTCAGGGTTGCCAGATAGAAAACTTTATTTTATGCCAAACTATTACTCAGAAAATGCCAGAAAATGCCAAATAAAGTTAGTTAGTTAGTTAGTTAGTTAGTTAGTTAGTTGGGTTATCCTCATTGCACTCCGGACATGTCCATAGGTGCTCAGATCCTCCCCTAGTATGAACCCCAACGTCCGATGGCTAATAGTACCAGTTCTATGTTAATTAACAAGTCTTCTGGCGTAGCTGGTGTGCGTCTCGTTTTTTGCTGTGCCGATCTTAATTCCCAAGTCTGCCATTCTGGCGAGTGATCTGGATTCACTGCCACCAAAGTCGTCTATCCTTCCCATTTCTCTGAGGGCATTGATAATATCAGCATGATCCATAGGCTGACCGTCGGTAGTGATAGCGGATCCAGCCAACCTGTCAGCTCTTTCATTTCCATCGACGCCTGCGTGTCCCGGAACAAAAATAAAGGTGACTCCACGGACAGTGGACTTCTGTAATGATTCAAGCCATTGTCTTCGCACTGAACCTGCCGGAACCCTCCGGATCATACTCATTGAATCACTGAGTATACACACGCGGGTGTATTTTTGTGTTTCAAGCCAGGCAAGCGCTTGTGTCACTGCCATCACCTCCATCGTCATGCTGCTGGTTGTCATGGAGAAGGCGCCGTTGGCTTCTTTGACTGTTCTGCCCGCTGAGCGTGCTGTAAATGCCCATGCGCTTCTTCTTTGGCGTATAACGGATCCGTCTGTATAGATTATTGCATCTGCTTCGTCTGAATTTTCACCGATGAGAGCGTTGACCTCTGCATTAACAGCAACAGGATTCTCTTCTCTACATCGCCTGTTGAGTGTGACAATACAGGAAAATGTACAAATAAACGTTTGAGGCACAGGTATCCATTCTGCACCAGGTATGATGTCGGTTAGGCTGCATATTTGCCTAATAACATCTTCTGCTCCACCTAGCCACGATTTTCCCCTCTTCAGTCTGTCGCCCTTTTCAGTAAAAAGCGCTTGATGCAGTGGGTGTTTCTTATCAGCACATATTTTGAGATATGCCCGAGCCCTCCACATCCTGATCCTTTGGTTCATTGTTGGAAAGTCAAGTAGATACCTCATTGCTCCACAGGATGTGTCTCTAGTACATCCCAAAATAATGCGCATGGCTTCATTTTGCACCTTTTCGAGTCGTTCAATCTGGGTAGCACTGACAGTGAGGATGGCCAGAGCGTATTCAATGGGGGAAAGGACCAGACCGTAGAATAGAAGTATTAGTAGTCTTTGCTCAATGTTGGAAGCAGCCATAATCCTCATTGCAGATAGACCTTTGCGTGCTTTTGTTATCACATGGTCAATGTGTTCCCTAAATGACAAGCTGCGATCGAACCTCACCCCGAGAAACGTCATAACGTTGGTTCTGATCAATACATTATCAAATAAAGTGTAACATTGTACTAACTTCACATCAAAAGCTCTAGATTGAATTCTTCACTGTCATCCTCACTGGAACCAGTGGAAGATACAGCGTGAACCTTTTCGGATATAAAATATTTAAGCATTTTCTTAGATGGGATGAAGTCTTTGCAAATAATTTATAATGATGCCATATTTCTTGTTCCGAAAATCATCAATAAGTAATCCTTAAGTGCAGGCGACATAATATTTTGGTTATTTATACGATGTTCTCCCCATTTACACACCACCGGTTGTAGGTCAACTCCGTTGATGAGTTGGTTGGACTAGTCTATTGTGGTCGAGGTTATGGGTGTCGCAGTCTGTTGTTGTCTGGCATTTACGTTTTTATTTCAGAGAAAGAGACGACCTGTGACATAGATTTTGCCACTCTCTATAGGGTTTGTGTTTTTGACCCAGTATCAGGCTGGGCAAATTCAAAAAGGTAAAATCAACAAAAACGCATTCGCTCCATCTATGCTAGACTCTGCGAGAACTGGTTACTGGCGGTTGATCTGCCAGGCCATGAAAGGTACCCCGTGGTAATCCGGAAGACCGGTCTGCGACCTGACATAGTTCTCCACTCTGCGGAGAAACGGCAGCTCATCCTGATTGAACTGACCGTCCCGTATGAGTCGCGTATGGACGAAAATCACACGTACAAGCTCGAGAATGGTGAAACTATGGGGGTGACTGCAGTCAAGCTAATACAATGAATTCCAGAGAAATATGACTAAAAAGCTCAACAAAATAGGAAAAAGGAAAACGTGCACAAAACAACACAACGTAACGTTTCGACCGGGCGGCCTTTTTCAAACAGAAGTGGACTACACAAACGAGGAATGGAGAGTATGTAGATCTCTAAGGGGTGACGTGAGCGACGTTTAAAAAATTTGATGCGGAATAAATGAAATAAAATAAAATAAACGATGGCTAAAAAATATAGTCACAATACTGGGAATAAAAGAAATGCAAGTGTTAATGATACATAAATGATATTGATAAGAAATAGAATATGGTAATAATATGAAATAAAATAAAATAATTTACATTTAAAATGTAATAAGATTAGAACTATTTAGATGAAGGTATGTTGGATATTGATACCTCTTGGACTAAGAACGCCAAGGCTGTGGATAAGGCGATTTTCCAAAGCGAGGCGGGTAGTATGATCGCCAGAGCAAGATTTTAATGCTGTGACAGATATGTCATCTTTACCGCTGTGGTCAGGGCTATTAAAATGAAGAGGGATTGGTTTGAGTGTCTTCTTGTCGATATCAGAGAGGTGTTCCCGGAAACGATCAGCTAGCTTCCTGCCAGTCTCCCCAATGTATGCCATGCTGCATCGTTTGCAGATAATTGCATAAATTACGTTGCGGGATTCGCAAGTAAAAGGTTCCCTAATTTGAAAAGAAACCATTAGGGAAACTGACCGAAGAAGTCTGGACAACGAAAGGACATGTTTTGCAGGTGCTGCGTGAGCACTGAGTAGTCCCAAGAGGAAGTGCTGTATGGATCGGTGGGAGTCGGCTTCGGACAAGTATGTCTTTAAGGTTGCGATCTCGTCTGTAAACTAATCTAGGTTTCTCGCTAAAGATAATACTGGTGTCCGGATCAGAGCGGAGGATGTCCAAATGACGAAAGAATACTTTGGAAGCAACCACATTGTTAGGGTGAAAAGTCAAGATCAATTTAGGTCCCTCATTGGTGGAGTTACGTTTGGTAGGAAAAGCATCTCTCCTGGTGATTGCTAAAACTTTGTTTAGAGCCCCTTGTAGAATGTGTTCCGGATAGAAACGGGCACGGAAGAATTCAAGAAGTTCAACTGATTTATCAAAGAAGTCAGAATCGTCAGAGCACAACCTGCGCAATCGAAGGAGCTGTGAATATGGAATAGAATTTTTACACGGTAGTGGGTGAGAAGACGTATAGAGGAGATAATTGTGAGAATCCGTGGGTTTGTAGTAGGCTGTGGTTTTCAGACACGGGAAATCGATGCTAATCGTGATGTCAAGAAAGTTAACTGAAGTGGTGGAGATCAGTGAGGTGAATTTGATAGCCGGATTGAAATTGTTGATGTAAGTAATAAATTGGTCAAGCTCAACCATGGACATTTCGGTGATACCAACGCCATCATCTATGTATCTCCTATACACCTCCGGAAGCTCGAGAAATACGGTGCTTTAGCAGCCGGTCTGAGGAGAGACGAGGCGTACGCAGTACCTGTCTTTGCCGTCGAAGTGGGAGCGAGAGGTCTCGTCTCCACTTCACTGTACAATGTGATTAAAGAACTAGGATTGCTCGGTAATGAACGGAAACGAACACTTAAAAAACTGGGCGAGGTAGCCGAGAGGGCCTCGAGCTGGCTTTGGACGCAACGAAACAACGTAGGGGACGGGCCTCGGTGAGCTGGTCCCGGTTTCTAGTGGAAAAGGGTTTCTTACCCTTTGAAAGTCGATCGTGTCAGAATTGTCTGCCAGTGATCCTCTGCCACCAGCTAACAAAGTTCAACATGTGTCCGGTAAACCAATCGTAAGCTTGTCGCTCGGTCGTCCAGGTATGCTGACTGCTCTAATTAGGCTGCCGTGGCGACTTCTTATCTCACAGTACCTTATGCAAATCACAAAGTCGTCTTGTCCCTATCCGAAAGAAAAACACTATCCGGTAATTTCGTGCAGCAGGGTACCAGCCCTGAGCTTCATGAACTCAGGTGGGCCCACCTCTAAAAACGTCTAGGAGATCGTGGGCCGAAACGTTTGTCGACGAGGATAACTTCTACTGAAGTACTGCTGTACTTGCTCCCTGTGAGTTTATTCCCTCTAAATGTTTTAGAAGTGTTAAAAGCTCTGGCATGGTGAAATATACAACACGTAGTATGATCGCAGGTGCGGAATATCCCTGTGACCTTGTTTGAAAGTCGGATCGCTTGAGGCCAACCTATCAGAAGTGAGGTAGTCAGTAGGTCGTCCAATCAGAAGCGAGCTATTATGTGGCGGTGTATAAATGGGGTGACCAGGGTAAAATTTGCCATTATTTCTTGTATTAGCCATGAACATTTAGTTATATGCAACTGTGTGTGCTCCAATGTACTCCCCCGGCCATGCGCTCTCATGATTTCACTTAGATGATCAATTGTGCGTATTGCACAATGGCAGGTCATGCCTACAGCCAGTTGCAACTCTGCTGCCTTTAACTGTATCATTACTTTGCCTAGGAGTCTTTGTTGTAATAAGCTGTAACTGGCTTTTTGACGGAGTATTTATCCTGTGTTTTTCGGATTTGTCATGATTTGATATGCTACTAATTCTTGATGCAACAGTACACTGACACAGTTTGCAATACGCTGCGTCTGACACGTTTGAAGATCTTTTGAGCCATGGGTATGTTTTCTTCCAATTACTATTATACTTGCGATATCATAAGGGGCTTTCCATTTTTTGGGATAATGTGGCCATTGTTTAGTTAGTTAGTTGGGTT